TACGTGCCTCTTTCCCAAGCCAGCCTCCTTCACTGCTAGTGGGAAAGAGGGTTTTGTTAACGGCCTTGTCGACGGTTTTTCTCAGTTTTTTCTCCACTGTCGTTCCACTTCGCATCTCTATACTCAGTTTCAATCGCCATAATACCCCCTTATTGAGCCCGACTTTTGCCTTTAAATGTTCCGAACGATATCAATACTCCTCAATCAGGTGAACTCGGTGGAAATGACAACTTCCCTTCAGAAAAGGGTAGGCTGGGAGCTCTCAGGGGAGGCTGCAGTAGCGTCCCGCGCGCTGCTTTGCGGTTGAATGTGTAGTATTTTTAGCACTGACATCCGTCATGATTTTTATGGGAAAGGAAGTAAAAGGACGGGTTAATACCCAGTCTAGAGGCGTTACCCAAGCGCCGCATGGTAGAGACACACGCTTCGATCAAACCGAGGTGGTATCTGCACACCAAGGTGAAGGGATTGGTGCGCAGTGGGCGGCAGTACAAAAAAGACTGACAAGAATCGGTTGAAAACGCTCAAGTTAAGTTCTTGCTCACTTTTGTGATTGATTGTGATTTTGATAAAGCGAGGAGATACTGAACGAGGAGAGATGATAGACGAGAGAACACAACACTTTAGAAAACGCCAGACACCAGTCGCTGCGGACGAGGAATAGTTGCAGCGGTTGAAGCAGTATTGGGAAGGCGAAAGCACCCTTTTTTGCACTTTGCAGGCGGGACAATGGGGCATCTGCGACCTTCGTGAGCAGCTCTACCCTACCAAACAAAAAAGTCATCCACTTCAATTCGTCCTGGGTTGTGTCTTGAACCCGTTTCTCGAATAATGCTTTCTTAATAGATAGCGCGCTCAGCTCAAAGAGGAGGGATACATGCTTGGTTTCTGGGCTCCCCAGAGATCCTTCGAGTATGTTTTAAATGAATTGGGAGGCCGCAGCGAACTAACGGCAAGTAATGGCGGATGCTTGCCTGGCTGAATTAGGTACTGGGTGAACATCGCGCACGCGACGCCACTGCCGTCGCGGATGGATCTCGGCGAAAGCTGTTCTACCCTAACTGATGATCATCCCCTCGCTGTCACGTTTCTGACGATCGCGAAGCTGGCGTGAGCGAACTTGGGATTAATCTCTCTGCAGTGGTATTTTGAAATACTCATAAACTATGAATCGTAAAGCCAGGGCAGTATTTCGATAAGATAGCGGCCCAACTCACCAGTGTGTGTCCTGTAGTGAGCTTTGAGATGACTGCTTTTGGTGTAGACCTTCCCACAATGAGGATGAGTGCAGTGATGGAGTCGACGATCCCGCGGCGATTCAGAATCGGTATGAGATGAGGAAGGGTGATGGTTCGCACATGTCATCTACGGCTGCGGAATCCTGAAATTACCAAGCTCAGGCTTTCATATGATTTTTTCATTACGAAATTAGGGGATAAGCGTCAGCTCTTCTTAGGTAAATGACCAGACTTCGTTAGTAGATAGTCTTCAGCGGCGAAAAAT